ACCCCCACTGGGGCCTTCGGTGGAGCTCCCTATGGGGCTACGAAACGCTGCCCTGGGTGGGGGAACCGCATGCGAACACCCCCACTGGGGCCTTCGGTGGAGCTCCCTATGGGGCCACGAAACGCTGCCCTGGGTGGGGGAACCGCATGCGAACACCCCCACTGGGGCCTTCGGTGGAGCTCCCTATGGGGCTACGAAACGCTGCCCTGGGTGGGGGAACCGCATGCGAACACCCCCACTGGGGCCTTCGGTGGAGCTCCCTATGGGGCTACGAAACGCTGCCCTGGGTGGGGGAACCGCATGCGAACACCCCCACTGGGGCCTTCGGTGGAGCTCCCCATGGGGCCACGAAAGCGCTGCCCTGGGTGGGGGAACCGCATGCGGACACCCCCACTGGGGCCTTCGGTGGAGCTCCCATGGGGCTACGAAACGCTGCCCTGGGTGGGAAACCAGATGCGGACACCCCCGTTGGGGCCTTCGGTGGAACCCCCCATGGGGCCACGAAGCGCTGCCCTGGCTGGGGGAACCGCATGCGGACACCCCCAGTGGGGCCTTCGGTGGAGCTCCCTATGGGGCCACGAAACGCTGCCCTGGGTGGGGGAACCGCATGCGGACACCCCCACTGGGGCCTTCGGTGGAGCTCCCTATGGGGCCACGAAACGCTGCCCTGGGTGGGGGAACCGCATGCGGACACCCCCACTGGGGCCTTCGGTGGAGCTCCCCATGGGGCCACAAAGCGCTGCCCTGGGTGGGGGAACCGCATGCGAACACCCCCACTGGGGCCTTCGGTGGAGCTCCCTATGGGGCTACGAAACGCGTGAGAGGTGTGCCGAGAGCAGAGGCAAGGAGGGGGAGGAGGGAGGGAGGAGGAGGAGAGGAGGGAACGCGGGGCACCGTCTCTTCAAAACGAGGACCCAACACCACAGGATGGTTGGGAATATAATAATATATAATATATATAATATATATATATATATATATAACACACAACACACACAACAAAAAAAAAAAAAAAAAAAAAAACTGTGGGGCTTCGGCCTGTCCCGCTGGCCAACCGGAAGGGACCACAAGGCGCGGAACTCGCCAAAAAAAAACTCCCCTAGACGGCCACGATGGCCCAAGATGGCCTCCAAGATGCCTCCAAGACGGCCAAGATGGCCCCAAGATGCCTCCAAGACGTCCCAAGATGCACCCAAGACGGTCTAAGATAGCCTCAAGATGGCCAACGACGGCCCAAGAGGCTCCCAAGAGGCCTCCAAGACGGCCCAAGAGGCCTCAAAGAGGTCCTCCAGGAAGTCTCGAAGAGGCCAAGATCATCGATTTCCATTTGGTTTTGACGGATTTGTCATATGCACCAAGACGGCCCAAGAGGCCCCCAAGGTCGCCCCAAGATCGCCCAAGAGGCCTCCGAGACGGCCCCATGACGGCCCAAGAGGCCTTCAAGACGCCCCCAGGAGGGCCCGAAGACGGCCCAAGAGGGCTCCAAGACGCCCACGATGGTCTCCAAGACGGCCCTGAAGCGCCCGAGGAGCGCCCCAAGTCGGTTCAGAGAGGCCCCCAAGACGGCTTCCGACGGCGTCAGACGGGTCGGGAACGCACTAAGACGACCAACGAAGCCCCCAAGAGGCCCAGGGAGGCTCCCAAGACACCTCCAAATGGCTCCCGGGAAGCTCAGCAGGGCCCTCCCAAGAGGCCTCCCAAGAGGCCTCCAAAGAGGTTCCCAAGAAGTCTCATCCTCCTCCTCCTCCTCCTACTCCTCCTCTTCTTCCTCCTCCTCCTGCTCCTCTTCCTCCTCCTCCTCCTCCTCCTCCTCCTCCTCCTCCTCCTCATCATCATCATCATCATCATCATCATCATCCTCCTCCTCCTCCTCCTCCTCCTCATCATCATCATCATCATCATCATCATCATCATCATCATCATCATCCCTCTCCTGATCCTCCTCTTGCTCTCCCACGCGCGCGTTTCCCGAAAGCTTTCCAAACCGACTCGGGGAAGAACTTGCCCGATAGCTTGGCCAAGCTCTAGCCCAGCTGTCGGCCACATAGGCGCTTCCGACAGGGCAGGGGGCGGCGGTGATTCGCCGTAGGCGTCTTCGATACTTGCTCTGGCCCTCTTCTTCCTCCTCCTCCTCCTCCTCCTCCTCCTCCTCCTCCTCCTCCTCCTCCTCCTCCTCATCCCCCTTCCTCCTCCTCCTCCTCCTCCTCCTCCTCCTGCTCCTGCAGGTGGCTCTAGCGCCGCGGCCGTTTGCGCTTCCCTCGCACGGCCCGACTTTCGCTCGGGCCCCCCGTCGCCAGGCGCCCTCCTGCTGGGCCCCGGCGCACTCCTCGTGAAGGGCTCCTGCGCCGCCCCGCCTCGCGAGGTGGGCGCGACCTCGCCCTCAGCCCGCAGGCGGCGGCGGGCTGCGATCCCCGCGGTCCGACGTGCGCAGCGGGCGGCCTGCGCGCTCACCGCAACGCTCGGGACGTTGCCTCGCGTGCGGACGGTGCAGCCGCCCACC